AAAAAAAAACAACTTTCTCATAGTAAATTTTAAAAAAAAGAAAAAAAAATTAGCATTCTGAGATATAATTTACACACAGTAAAAATCACCTATTCAGTGAGTTTTGACAAATGTGTATCGTTAATAATTACCAACACAATCATATATAGTACAATATAAAAATAAGGAAATTGACATTGAGACAAAACCGTTAACCAGAGTGTAGACCTTATTCATTTTTCACTGTGTGTGTTGTGTATAGTTATATGCAGTTTTATTACAAGTGCAGATGCATGTAACCACCAGCGTGATCAACATCCAGAACTGTCCCATCAACACAAAGAAACTCCCTTCCCCCATCCCTAACCCCTGGCAGCTGGTGAGCTGTTCCTCATTTCTATAATTTTGCCATTTCAAGAATGTAACATAAATAAAATCATAAACTATGAAACCTTTGGAGATCCACTCAAGTTTTTATACACACGTCAATAGTTCATTCCTTTTATTACAGGATAATATTCCATTGCTTGGGAGTTCCCTAGTTTGTTTATCCATTCTCTTGTTGGAAGACATTCAGATTGTTTCTAGTTTGGGTTATTACAAATATAGCTACTATAACCATTTCTCCACTGGTTTTTATGTGAACTTAACTTTTTGGGTCTCTGGAATAAATGCTTAGAAGTATGAATTCTCAGTTGAGTGATAAGCATCTGTTTAATTTTACAAGAAACTGCCCAACTATTTTCCAGTGATTGTACCATTTTACCTTCCCATCAGGAATGTATGAGAGATTCCATTTCTCCACATCATCACCAGCATTTAGTATTGTCAGATTTCTTTATTTCAGTTCTAATAGGTGTGATATTTCATCATGGTTTTAGTTTGCATTTCCCTAATTGCTAATGACGTTGACCATCTTTTCAAATGCTTATCTAACCATCCATAGATCCTCTTCAGTGAAATATGTGTTCTTTTGCCAGTTTTTTAATTTGATTTTTTTTTTTTTAAAAGAGGGAGAGAGATGGAGGGGAGGAAGGGAGGGGCAGAGGGAGAGGGAGAGAAAGAATCTCAAGCAGGCTCCATGCCCAGCACAGAGCCTGACGTGGGGCTCAATCTCACAACCCTGAGATCATGGCCTGAGCCAAAATCAAGAGTTAGATGCTTAACTGACTCAGTAATTTCTCAGCAGATTTCTCAACAGTCTTTTCCAGTTTTCATTGTGCAGGTCTTGCGCGTCTTTTGCTAAATTTGTTCTTAAGTATTTTATTCTTTTTGATGCTTTTGTGAGTGGCATTGTTTTTTAAATCTCATTTTTGACTGCTTATTGCTAGTTTATGGAACTATAACTGGTTTTTATATTTTGATCTAGGATCGAATGGCCTTGCTAAACTCACTTATTAGTTCTAATACTTTTTTTCTCTTTTTATAAGTTCCTTAGGATTTTCTCCATACAAGGAAGGCCATGCCATTTATGAATAAAGACAGTTTAATTTTTTCCTAGGGTCCATTTCTTTAAAAGTAATCTGTATGCTTTTAATTTTTTTCTTTCCTTTTTGTACTGGCTAGAATCTACAGAAAATGTTGAGTAAGGGTGGTAAGAGCAGACATTCGTGTCTTGTTCTTGGTCATAGGAGAAAAGTAGTCAGTCTTTCATCATTAGGTATGATGTTAGCTGTATGTTTTTAGCAGATGTTTTTTATCAGATTGAGGAAATCCCCTCTATTCCTGCTTTGTTGAGAGTTTTTAAAAATCATAATGAGAACTGAATTTTTCAAATTCTTTTTCTGCATCAGTTGAGATAACCATGCGTTTTTCCTTTGTTCTATTAATGTGATACATTATTTTTAGAGTTAAAGCAATGTTGCATTCCTAGAATAAACTCCATTTAGTCATAGTGTATAATCATGTTTATATGTTGCTGGATACAGTTTGAAAATATTTTGTTAAAAATTTTTGTGTCTGGGGGCTGCTCTTCCGACTGGCTGGCTCAGTGGGAAGAGCATGCGGCTCTTGATCTTGGGTCATGAGTTCGAGTCCCATGTCGGGTGTAGAGTTTACTAAAAATAAATAAAAACTAAAAAAAAATTTGTGTCTATGTTCATGGGTCATATTGGTTTATTATTTTATTTTCTTGTCATGTCTTTGTCTGGCTTTGATATCATGGTAATATGAACCTTATTAAGACAGGTTGGGAAATGTTCCTTTCTCCTGTGTTTCCTGAAAGGGTTTATATACAGTTGGTATTATTTCTTCCCTAAAAGTTTGATAGAAGGGCGCCTGGGTGGCTCAGTCGTTAAGTGTCTGCCTTCAGCTCAGGTCATGATCTCAGGGTCCTGGGATTGAGCTCCGCATCGGGCTCCCTACTCGGCCAGGAGTCTGCTTCTCCTTCTCCCTCTGCCCCTCCCTCCACTTGTGCTCTCCCCCTCTCTCTCAAATAAATAAAATCTTTTTTTTTATGATTTTATTTATTTGACAGAGACACAGCGAGAGAGGGAACACAAGCAGGGGGAGTGGGAGAGGGAGAAGCAGGCTTCCCACTGAGCAGGGAGCCCAATGTGGGACTCCATCCCAGGACCCTGGGATCATGACCCGAGCCGAAGGCAGACGCTTAATGACTGAGCCACCCAGGCACCCCTCAAATAAATAAAATCTTAAAAAAAAATACTCCCACCATGACTGATTTCAGGCTATCGATGTGAGGCCATTGAACACAAAGTTGGGGAGGGACATGCACCATTGGACAAGCTGGCTCTAGTAACACCACTTTCTGTATCTTAGCAATTGTGATATTTGTGTTTGTCTTTTCATTCAATCCCAGATATTTTCTAATTTCCCTTGTGATATCTTCTTTGACCCGCAGGTTATTTAGAAGTGCATTGTTTAATTTCCAAATATTTGGGAATTCCCAGATGTCTTCCTTTTGTAGATTACTAATTTAGTTCTGTTGTTGGAGAAAATACTTTGTATGATTTTAATCCCTTGAAATTTACTCAGACTTGATTTATGGCCTAGCATGTGGTTTATCTCGGACAATGTTTTCTGTGTGCTTGAAAAGAATGGACACTCTACTGTTGCTGGGTGGAGTGTTGTGTATATATATTTGTTAGATCAAATTGGTTGATAGTGTTGTTCAAGTCTTCTTTTTTTCTTTAGGTTTTTTTTTTTTTAATTCATTTGTCAGAGAGAGAGCACAAGCAGGGGGAGCAGCAGGCAGAGGGAGAAGCAGGCTCCCCGCTGAGCAAGGAGCTCGATGCGGGACTCG